ATTTTTGTTCCTCCACCCCCTCTTCTGGCTCAGTGTCAGGCTTCTAGGCCTTTTGCCTGGGGCACTGCACCATGTTGGTCCAGAGCCTGAGACGGCCAGTGTCCCTTTCTGCACAGCAGGACAGCCGTGCCCACCTGCACAGGGCCCCAGCCTCCCTCTCTTGTGGTGTGTCTCCTTGAGCTCTGTCCTGGAGGTGCCGCGGTGGTCGCTGACAGCCACTCCCTTGCCCTGCTGTGTTCTTGGCTGTCTTAGGTCTGTGGTTTTTTTCCCCATCAAGAGGTCCACAGACTGTCCAGAGAGAGCACCTCTGACCCAGGCCCTTCCTTCCTCGCGCCTCCTCCATGTGCTAGGCTTTGACTCCATTTCTGTGGTGACACGTTGTGTATTCTCAACCCCTGCCTTTGGTTTTTTCAGGCCTAGCTCTGCTAGCCCCAGTGGGAAGCCCTCTGGATCAGCAGTTAACATGGGCTCTGTGCAGGGACACTACGTGCAACAGGTAGAAGATGGCTTTCCAGACCCTTCAGCCCTGGACATTTAGGCCCGTCTCCAAGCGCCAAAAGAGAAGGGACTGTCCAACCTATCTGAGTGCTCCTTGTCTAAAGAGAGCCATGCCCTAGCGGTTAGAGCACGGAACCAGGAGCTGGGCCATCCGCGTCCCTCCTGGCGAAGGCATTTCTCCTCTTGACGGGCGTCTGGATCCTTCCTTGTCCTGCAGAGAAGGGAGGATGCTGATTCCTCTGAGGAGGTGACGCTGGAAGGTGGACTGGCCCTGGCAGGTCGGGGCTGTGAGGCACTCTGGGAGACTCGGTTAGGTTTGGGGTCAGCTCTAGGAGCCGGGGTGCGCGAGTCAGTGGTGTGTCTCGTCTTTGTCTTGGCTGGGTGGGATCACAGGTGAAATTAAGTTTTCCCATTTGATTATGAAAAGTACATCTCAGTGTCTTTCCCTGCAGGCACTATTCTCTTCACTAGTCTCTAAAACATGCTGGGGCTCAGAGCTTAGGCCCCTCAGACTTGGGTGTTTCATCAGTCACTGTGCCTGGCTGGTAGAGGTGGGAAGTGATTGCTCTCATTGGTACCTCTGGGGGTCATGAGAATTGTGTGGAATAAGCTTCTAAAGCTTTCTTCCAGAGTTCAGACTTGGGGGGCGGGGAGGAGGGCAGATGTGCTGGCTGCTCTGTGACTTCCCCATCCCACCCCCATGTAGAGCCACAGACCAGGGGAGCCCTGACTGGGAATGGGGTCCCAGGGAAAGGTTATAGAGTGGGAGTTATGGCTGAATCGAGGCCAAAGATCTGGGGCGGGAGGCAAGTCTGCCTAGGGCCCCAGCAGACAGCCGGGGCCTCCGAGATGTGCAGGGGGCACTTGGATCTACTCGAAGGGGCTTTTTGCTTGTGGGGCAGGATGTGCACTGATTTGAAAAGGTTCTTCAGTTGGCCTTGGGACTAGAACTGCTTCCGCCCTGGATGTGCCATCGCGGAATTCCTTGTGGAGGACTCGGTGTCTTCCTGCCTCTCCGAATCACTGCACTCGGGACTCATAGGGAGGGAACAGGGACGGCAGTTGCGCCACTTTCCTTACTAGGAGGGGGATTTGTAAGTCTGGTCCTTCAACCAAGGGATGGATGACTTAAGGGAGCTTTCCCTGCATTCAGGAGCAGGAAGGGAGTGGTGGGAGCTATGTATCCAAACAGACGTTTCAGCATCAGGGTCACTTTGTTTTTCCCGTTCATCTGTCCAAAGGCAAAACGAGTGGATGAGAAACCCAGCCTGGGAGCCGTGAAGCTGCAGGAGGCCCCCTCGGCTGCCTCCCAGATGAAGCGAACTGGAGCGATCAAGCCTCGGGCTGTCAAAGTGGAGGAGAGTAAGGCCTGACGGTGCCTGGCTGCCACCTCGCCTCGCCCCACTGGGGACGGTGCCGTCACGTGGCCTCGACACAGCTGACGCTCGGGAGCCTCACCAGATCCACCGTCCAAACGCCTGGCCTGGACTGAGAGACCTCCCTCCTCTCTCCACTCCTGAAAGCTCTGTCATCAACCAGCTTGCACCCGTGGATATATGGCATTGACCCGCTTGCTTTGATTATGAAACAAAAAAGCAAATGACTCCTTCATCCCATCTCCTCCCACCGTGACCGTGGAGTGACTCGCCTCCCGTGCAGTGCAGATCCGCCCTCCCTGCTCCTCCCTGTCCTGCCGTGCGGCCAGGGCACCTTCTCAGCAGTGCTTCCGGCCCAGCAGCCCATCCCTAGGCACTGTGGTTTGGCAGCAGGGTCATTTTACTTTGAGGCTTTTTGTTTTAAAAAGTAGCCAAGGTTTTTACAAAGGGCAAAGGAAAAGAAAAAGAAAACGCAAGCTCCGTCTGTATAGCTGAACTTTTCTACGTTCCTCGCCAGCCCCACCCCTCCCTTCCGTCTCCAGTGGCTTCCTTTCGCCTCTGTCCTGTTTAATTTGATACGTCACTTTGATACCTTAAGAGATGACTCTTAAGAATGCATCCCCTCCTGATCCCCCAGCTGGTTCACCTTTGAAGTTATTTGCAAAAAGAAATGAAGGTTCTTGAGGGCACCCATTGTGAGCACTCTAGTGCCTGGCTCCCCGCCTGGGAAGCAATGGGGTGCGCAGAGCAGTAGGCAGGTTGGGGGTTGCATTTGGGTTCCAGCTCCTGATCTGATGAGCCCAGGGCGTTTACAGGCAGCCCATGAAGTTGATGACGGTTTTGGCAAGAGAATCACACGGTATCCCTGTCCTGGGCTCTTCGAAAGCCAGTGGATCTGGGCACCAGGGACAAATCATGGAGATGGCTGCTGGTGGCTCCCAGGTTGGCCCAGATGGGGCAAGCTGACGCACCACAGGTCCATCCCAGGCCCCGTGGGCTCTGCTTCTGAGGCTCCACACCCTGCCCCTCAGGGACGCTGTGTTTTTCACGCACTTCTTTCCTTGAAGCCTTCTGTAACCTGTCAATTTCCTTCCTTCCTTCCTTTTCTGGGGCCTGCTGCTTTCTCTAGACCCGTCTCCACCTCCCACACAGCTCATCATGAACATCACTTGATGGAGGGAGTGGACACTCGTGTGGTCCCCAAGTGAGGCCACTGGGAGTTGGTCCTTCTCCTCCTCTGTTTCACTCCCAGCAGCAGACCGAGGTTGTCGGGACAGGAGGGCCTGAGCTAAGCAGCAGGCATCAGTCTCAAGTCTTCAGACAGCTGGGCGGGGCCAGGGTGAGGCTGAGTGCAGGGCTGACCACAGTCCAAAGGGCCTGCACAGCCTCCGGGAGGGCAGCACCTCCAGGCTATAGGGCTGCCTCCAACCAGAGGCTTATGTGAGCCATGGTGTGCTGGGCTTGTTTTTACGTAAGAAGGAAATCACCCCAGATTCTGTCATTCCAAGGAAAGGCAGGGGAGCAGTTCAAGTTTCTCAGCTGTTTTTAGGGATCACTTGAGTGTCTACCTTCTCCTCCAGAGGAGGCTGGCTCAGAACACAGTGTGGAGGGGACGGGGTCACACCCGCCCAGAGGCTGCCCCAGTGTCTCATGGGCACAGGACAGCCATTTCGGCTTGGGCTCTAAGCTGTGTCTAGTGTGGAACATGGGAAGGAGCATCTTAGGAACTGTTGAAGTTACTTCTTACTTCTCTCACAAGTCTAAGGAAGTGGGAGAATGGCCTCCTACGAACAGCACCAACCCCGGAGCTGCCTGGGAAGGGGCAGTTTAACTGAAAGACGCTTTACTGTTCACCTGTATCTTTTAGCACCTCCCCTCCTGCCCTCACGTTGTCTTTCCCTCTTCATCCCGTCTTTACTCTTGAGTCCCTTCCCGAGGGGTGGCCCACCCGGAAGTTACGGGCATTTCCTACCTGAGCTTCTTGTCTGCTTTTCCTTCTCCCGCTGCAAGCGGCTGCTTGTGGGCGTGGGGTGAGCCCTCTCTGTCCCCACGCGTCCCCTTTGCCAGGCCGTTCCTGGGTGAGCCCAGGCCTGCAGGAGCCACACATTCATCTCCACCTGGACACTTGAGCCACATGGCCAGACCCCTTCCACCTGACGCGGTGGTGCGTGTGATTTGTTGAAAGAAAAAGCCTCCTGGATGCTGTTAAAAACTCAAGATGTATCCTTCAGGTGAACCTGGCATCAGACCCACAGTAATTGCTGTTTGAGAAAAAATAAAAACAAAAAGGTCACCTGTTCTCCAGCCCTTTTCTCTCACCCGGTATTTCCTGCCTTTCTCCTCCCTCACCCCAAATAAAAACAAAAACAGAAAAAAAACTAGAATTTATTTATATGTATTGATGTTGTAGGTCTAGGTGAAAGAAGTAAATGTTTCACTGCTCTATTTATATATCATGTCTGAATTCTGTGCAGGAAAGGCCAGGAAATTGCATGTGAAGTGCGGTGCAGTCACCACCTCTGTGTCACCTGAGCTGTAGTCTCTGCTGAGATGCAGATTTTAAATGAGACTCTGCGGGCTAAGGGTAGGCTTCAGGCCTCCCAATGCCCCACCCCCTTCCTTGGTCTGATTAAATGCAGTTCTTAGTGCAGAGACGTTTTAAGGTGCAATATATCTCTTCCTTTCACGTGGTTTTAGAGCCAAGCTCAAGGTAGTAGGACATAGGGTCATTTCGTTTTCAAACCCCCGTCCATCCTCAGAGCACAGATACATGCAGAGGCTTCTGTCAGGATACCGTGGGGCCTTGGTGGGAACAGGTGGAGACCAGCACTTCCCTTTTTTGCTGCTGAGGTGGGGAGTAGAGGGTCATAACTCCCTCACCTTTGCCTGCTAAAGTCGCCCTCCTCCCTATGCTGGCAGCTCTGCCTTGGCCATCGGGCGTGTGGCCCATTGCTCAGCAACCAGTGGCCTTGCGGTGATACCTGTCCACCGCCCACTAGAGTGGGATGAAGTCCAGAGTGTGGGTGTGCGTCTGAAACGCTCGTCCACCCACTGGGGACTTCTCTGCCAGCTGCATCATTTGGTTTGGTTTTCTTAACTGGTGGCTCTCCCCCTCCTCCCCCTGCCTTTTTTTTTTTTTTTTTTTTTAAACATTCGTATTGTTTTTAAACTTGGAATTCATAAACACTATAGCTCTAGGTTCCTTAAGGGAAAAAACAAAGGATAACTTTATTATTTCACATTCAAGAAAATCGGTTCAGTTCCAAAGCCATGGTCCTTCCAGCCACTTTTAGGGACCCTGGGGTACCTTGTTAAACGTTGACATCAGTGCTCTCCAGCTATGCTGTCGCCCTCCTGTCTTCTGGATCTGCCTTCAGGACAGTCAGTGACACCTTCTGGAAGCTGGGCGCACACAGGTGCAGGGCTGTGCTGTGGCCTGGCCTGCTGCGGCAGTGTGGCAGCTGTGGTGGAGCTCCTCCCTGCCATTGGTTCCCCTCTGCCAAGTAACTGCAGGCTGCCCCTCAGATCTTTATTTGTCCCTTTTCACTTCCTGCAGAGCAGGCCTGAGTTAGAGGGTCTGTTGGAAATGGCCTTTGAAGACCAAGGATACCAGGGTATGTGTGCTCTGTCGTGAATGGGAATGTAGGCTTCCAGAAAGCCAGCTCTCGTCCGAAATGTGACGGACCTACACAGGAAGTCATCCAGGACAGGAGTGGCTCATTGTTGGGGATGGACACTGGCCCAGCCATGCTCTACCAGGGCCACCAGTGCCTGTTGGGCTGGTGATATTCAGGCACTTGAGACCTGCTGTTCACCAGTTCACCCCAGTTGGTGGCCTCCAGGATGGTCGTGGCACCCCCGAGCCCCATCTTCAGCATGTTCTGAAGCCTCGGAATGGGAATTCCTGACAAGGTTCTGTGTGGACGCCTTTCTCCCATGGTCTAAAGGGGACGCTGTCCTCAAGCTTTTGACCTCATGCCTTGTGTAGTAAAAAAGGATTTGGGGGTTTTTTGTTTGGTTCTTAAGAGGGTTGCGTTTTGTTTTTGTTTCCTTTTGTTTATGTTTTGGCCTTTCCTCTTTGTCTTTTCATGTAGACCAGATATTTGAAAGGGCAGACGATGGCTAGAGGTGTAATGTGCAGCTTGTTTATACATTATTTCGGGAAACTTACCTTGGGTAGGAAATGGAATTGTGGATTCACCAGGCCGGTGCTGGCACACCCTCGCCCTTTCCCTCCGGTTCAGTACCTATTGTTTCTCCTTTCAAATATGTGATTGTACTAGCTCTTTCCATATGAAAGAATTCTCCTTATTTAAATAAAAAAAAAGTTAAAAAAAAATAAAGCTGAACATGCTTTCTCAGGTTGTATGCCCCTCATTTCTCAGTCATTTTGACTGGAGAGACCTACAGATCAAAAGTTCTAATTTTACAGAGTTCGCACAGAAATCAGGAGTGGCACGGCCGGCACACCTTAACAGAAGCTGTATGGGTAGAGAAGGGATTGGAACCCGTGGTTAAGGAGCATCTTCAAAATGCAGCAGCATCGAGCACTCTCCACTCTCTTCCCACAGATGGCATCTGGCTGTGCGTGGTGCCAGCCTGCAACCCCACCACTTGCAATGAGAAATGGGTTGGTCACAGGAGGTAAGCATTTCATGTGGTGTGTTATGTTGCCACTTCTAGTAGTGCTTTTGCAGGAAGTAGAGGATCCTGTGCTCTGGGGTGGGGAAGGAGCAGGCCAGGCCTGGGGTAGCAAAGGGTAATAGTTCAGAATGGCTTGAGGCAGCAGTTCTCGGTTTTGCCATTGCCTCACTGTTGTGTCCTGGGGAAAGACGTTTCACCACCTGGGTCACAGTCTCCTTAACCATAAAATGTAGATGGTAATGGTATCAACTTCATGGGGTAGTGTGGATTCAGAGTCACTAGTAGCTTTTGGCTTAGTGCCTAGAACCAGCTCAGAAAACTTAATTACCTCCCAAGAAATAAAATGCTGTTTCCATGAGGAACCCCAGCCTCAACTTCCTTCTAAGCCTCTTGACTATGGATGAGAGTTGGGGACCTGGGCACAGGCATCTCAGCTTCAACCAACCACACTCAGTGCCCTGATTGACTGCTCCCTAGGGACAGGTGGCTCACAGCCAGCCCCAAAGGAGGCTAGTGCTGAGGTTGGGGGCCTGCAAGATGGAGCTCTAACTCCTGAGGCACCACCACTGTTAGCATGCACCAAAGCTCAGCGGCCCAGCCCCACTCCCTCCCGGGGCCCAGGGAACCCTCCCTGCCCACTGTAAACACAGTTGCCTGCAGGCTCTGGCCACAAACCCAGGTGAGCCCCAGCTCCTCCTCTCTCTCTGGGATCTTGGGTGAGTCACATAACCCCTCATGGGTAAGCCATAAGGAAGTAACCACTACGTTCGCAACTGGTGTCACCTAATGCTATGTTGACGGACATGGAAGAAAAAATCTTGCAGACAGCCAAGAACAATAATTAAGGTTATTAAACCCTTAATAGTGTAGACAGGAGCAGTGGTCTCTATAGATTAACATATAAATAGACCAGGAGATCAAGAAGGGGTGAGGCTGAGAAGAGTGATCCATTAGCCTGGTTGCATTGCTGTCAGTTACATGCTCGGTACCCATCCAGGCAAAAGATGGGAAGGGATGCAGTCAACCAAAAGTACCATGTCAGCCCCAAAGCAGGTCTTTGGGAAGACTCGACTCTGAGCAGAGGGGGATGGAGAGGCTGATGGATGAGGAGGAGCAGCCCTGGGAAGGGAGGAAGAAGCCTCCGACTGGAGTTTCTCCTCCCTGGAAGCCTTCTGCCAGGGAGTTTAAGAGAGATGCCCCCACTGGAGCCTCTGGTGGTCTTGCAGCCCCCACCATGTCCTGTTTTTTTGGGTTTTTTGTTTTGAGATAGGTGTGACCACAGCTGACTGCAGCCTCGACCTTCCTGCCCCAAGCGATCTTCCTACCTCAGCCTCCCTTGTAGCTGAGGCCACAGGCAGACACCAACAGGCCAGGCTAATTTTTGTATTTTTTCGTACATGCCGGTTCTTGCTATGTTGCCCAGGCTCTTCTGGAACTCAAACAGGCTCACTCTATCCTCCTGCCTCGGCCACCCAAAGTGCTGGGGTTACAGGCGTCAGCCACCGCGCCTGGCCCTAGGTCCCTTTTAAATGCACTTACCCTCAGCCCCTCCTCTGCTAGATGTATGTGCAAGCAGGTTCGCGGCAGCGATGTTTTTTGGCAAGAAAACTAGGGTCTTAGGGGAGTGGGGGCGTGGGACTGTGGTCCCAGCTGCTTGGGAGGCCGAGGCGGGAGAATCGCGTGGGGCAGGGAGGTCGAGGCTTCAGCAAGCTGTGGTCGTGACACCACTTGAGCCTGGACGAAAGAGCGAGACCCTGTCTCAAAAAATTAAAGCCAGGCGCCATGGCTCACGCCTGTAATTACAGCACTTTGGGAGGCCGAGACGGGCGGGTCATTTGATGTCAGGAGTTCGAGACTAGCCTGACCAACATGGTGAAACCGGTCTCTACTAAAAACACAAACAGCCGTGGTGGTGGCGGCGGGCGCCTGCAATCCCAGCTACTCGGGAGGCTGAAGCAGGAGAATAGCTTGAACCCGCAAGGCGAAGGTTGCGGTAAGCCGAGATCACGCCATTACCCTACAGCCTGGGCAACAAGAGCGAAACTCCGTCTTAAAACCTAATTAATTAATTAATTAAAAGACCTAGGAGCAAACTGGCGCGCCGCTGTGAGACGCAGAATTAAGATCTCCACGCCAGATGGAGTGAAAAAGCAAGGAGAAGATGGGTGGGAGCCCACTGCGTTTTTAAAAAGCTGCACGTTTGCTTAGAGTACACAGAAAACCTGGCACACAAAGCACTAGCACCCGAAGGAGGGGAGGTCCCCCCGCGTTTGACACTTGCTTCTCCCCGGGCCCGGCGCCTTCGCCTGCTGCGCACGCGCGCCACCGCCCAGTGCGCACGCGCGCTGCTGCCCGTCGGGCCCCGCAGGCGCGGTGAATCGAATGTCGAGAGGGCGGTGGGCATTGCGGAGTGCCGAAGCTCCTTGCTCCCAACCGTCGGCTCAGTGCGGCGGTTCCGAGGCCTTGCTAGGCGCTGTGCGCGGCTCTGCCTGGACTCGGACAAACTCGGGTACGTTTAGGGACACCGGGGATGAGGGCCCAGCCCGAACTCGGGGAGTCCATCAGTGCGGGACGCGGGTGAGCGGCCTGCGGACGGGCTGGGGCCAGGGGCGTCCCCGTGTTGCCTGAGCCGGAGCCGGGGGCGGGGTTCGGGCCCTGGCAGGTGAGGCGTCAGGGGCCGACCGAACCCCGAAGTAAGAACTCCGCGGCACGTGCAGCACTAGGGAGGAGGGGCGTGCCCCGGGTGCAGCCTCCGGAGTTGGTGGCCGGGACAGGTGTGGCCTGTGGGGAAGAAGGGCCGGCCAGGGAGACGCGGTCTGCAAGGGGAGAGGAGGCACTTCCAGGACGGATGGTCCTCTTGGGAGGAAGGTGCTCAGGGCAGATGCAGCTCAGGGAGGGAAGAGCCAGAGCTCGTCCAGGGTAGATGGGGCCTGGGGATGTCAGCGAGGTGCCAGCGGCCAGATGCAGCTGTGTTGTGAGACAGGGACCCCAAGGCTGATGCAGCTTCAAGAGAAGCAGAGCTCAAGGGAAGATGAAGCCTGGAGGAGAACTTGGGGGCTCAGGATGCTAATGCACCCTCCAAGAGAGAAAGGGGGACTCAGAGTGCAGATGCACCCTCCAGGTGAGAAGGGGGGGCTCAGAGTGCACATGTACCTTCCAGGTGAGAAGGGGGGGCTCAGAGTGCAGATGCATCCTCCAGGTGAGAAAGGGGGACTCAGAGTGCAGATGCACCCTCCAGGTGAGAAGGGGGTGCTCAGAGTGCACATGTACCCTCCAGGTGATAAAGAGGGGCTCAGAGTGCAGATGCACCCTCCA